TCTCCCCCTTACGAAAGTTAATATTTTTGCTTCTTAATTTTCGGTGTATTGATATTGTTGTTTGCATATGGGTTCCTAATAAACTGAATGCACTTAGAACAGATAATAGCTTGATAAAATTTATGTTACCTAAAGAAAGACTTCAAAGTTCTGGAACTTTCCACAAAAATACTCGTACAGCTCTTCACAGTATCACAGAGTACAATCAGTAATTACAACTCAAACTACTAATAAAGTTAAACACAAAACAGCGGAAAAGCGCATTTTAGGCAAAGGTCTTACGGTTATCTCAGTACTCCGTAGTCATTCTAAACTAACAGCTACAACTGAGAAACTTAGAACAAGATGTTATAATGGCATGCAGCTATTATAAAATAGCTCTTAACGTATCCGACATGAAGGTCGGATAACAGTATCCGATATAAGGGTAAGATACGGTTAAGCTAATACAGGAATCAATTACTGTTATTCAATACAATATCAATTGCAGTTATACAGGAACTGGACCAAAATGTCGCCGAATGGTTGCCGCGTTGGCGACTTTTGGCGGTTTCTCGCCAGATTTAGCGACAAATATTAGTCGTCAAAACCGTTGCCAGCTTGGCGATATCTCGCTGATATCGCCAACCTGGCAACGCTATCTCGCTAGATTCGCTAAATGGCTATCTCGCTTTACTCAAAATTAAATAATCTTGCTCTTGTATTCTTCGTTTTCCGGCAGACCATCATTTATTTCAAGCTTTTCATGCTACATTATACAGAAAAATACAATAATTTCACCCAAATTATCCATGTATGTAAAGGAATTCATAACAATATAATTTCATTTTTGAATTTGTTTAAAAAATAAAATAACAATTCCTACTTTTTTTTGTGTGTGTGTGAAGTACAATTTTGTTGAATGATCATTATCTTTACAACTGGGAAGAATTAAGCAGAAAATAAGTGCTCAAATTTGATTTTCAAGAGTAGACAAGAGTAAGTTTTACATTGACATGAATTTATAGGAAAATTCTATGCATTTTGCGAGAATCGATAGGAGTCTTTGTAATGAAGCGAGCTAAACATTTTGCAAGATTTTGATGGAAACCCCACTAAACATGAACTCGATATCACTATAGTCAGCGCGTTCAGCAGAAATTATTCTGTTTCTCTCGAAAATTGAATAAACAATTTTAATTACTTTCTGAGAAATTTATTTGTCTTTAGTCTACAGAGATAAATTGTCTGGTAATATTTTTGAAACAGGCAAAATTGACAGCTTTTGCCGTACGAAACATTTTCAGCAACCGACATTCATGATATGTAATATATAAATATTTCAAATGGATGTCAAAACACTGCTCATTTTGAAAAAAGCCTTAGCTTTAGAGATTAATATACTGTATGAACAAAGGATCTTTCACTTATCACAAAAATCATACGAAATAACAGTGAAAGATAGAGATATGAAATTTTAATCATTACTATAGTTTTTTACTATGTAGTTGATGACGTTAAGGAGTATATATTAACGAAAAAGCGTCTATGAAGGAAGAAAGCTAAGTATATTTTGCAGAATTATGAAATTAAATCGCCCGCTAACAGCGATTTAGAAGTTCCTATGAACACAAAGTGTATTTTGCGAAATAATGAAGTTAAATCGCCGGTCAACAGTGATTTAGAAGTTTGTATGGACGCAAAGAATTTTTCGGAATTATGAAATTAAATCGTCCATTAACAGAGATTTAGAAGTTCATACGGATGCAAAGTGTATTTTGCGGAATTATAAAATTAAATTGTCCATAAACAGCGATTTAGAATTCGGATGGACGCAAAGTGTATTTTGAGGAGTTATGAAATTAAATCGCCCATGAGCAAGTTAGAAGTTCGTATAGGCTCAAAGCTCATTTTGCGGAATTGGGAACTTAAATTGCTATCTTTGCAGAATCATGAAATTAAATCGCCAATCAACTGCGATTTAGATGTTCACATGGATGCAAATTGTGTTTTGCAGAATCATGAAGTTAAATCGCCCATCAACAGCTCTTTAGAAGTTCATATGAACGTGAAGAGAATTTTGCGAAATTCTGAAATTAAATCGCCCATCAACAGCGACATAGAAGTTCTTATGGTTGCTAAGTGTCTTTTGCTGGATTATGAAATTAAATCACTCGTTAACAGCGATTTAGAAGTTCGTATGCACGCAATCTTCTATATGTTTCTGCTTAATACTTTACAGTTGTTAAGCTAAAGATAACTTAATAAATCTATACTTCACATAAAATGGAAGGTTTCATTAATTTATTTTTCAAAATCCATTTAAAAATGGAATCATATCAATAGACAGACAATTAAAAAGTGGAAATACTAACTTTCGTAAGGAGTAGAGCAATTATTTCCTTCAAAGGGATTTCAAAACTGCAGATTATTTGCCTTTACTTCTTTATTTCAAAGTGGCTTTATGACACATATTACGAAGTAATTAATTTATTACAAAAATGAATGAAGTCGTGAAATCCCACGAAGGAATGTTTTCACAGAAGATTTTTTTAGAACAGGATGTTATTTATATATAGAAAATAACAGAACTTTAAAATTATCCATGCAATCAATTGATGCCTTGGTAAATGCAGCCGAGAATAGAGCTATAAATTTCAATGATCTTCATCTACTGGTAGGCCTAAGGAAATTATTAAAAACTAAGTAACAAAATACACCAAGCTTAAAAATTTATGATGTGATTGCAAAGATCCTAAGATCCTGGAGATTAGCGAGGAATGGAAGCGCAGTGACAATATTCTTGACAAAGGTTCTACAAGAAAAAAAATCACCTGGTAATTATTACATTCGAAGAATCCTGTGGCCAACATATCGCCTCGATCTCTGCCGCCGATCTGCTTTAGTAGAAAATTTTGATTGAGATATTCTTCCGTGAGGACTTACCTCCTCGGTCGCTGGTTTTTAAACGAGATACTGTAGCAAATCATCAAGATAATGACTGGTGTCTGTAGTCGTGACAGGACAACTACCTCGTTCAAAATGGTAATCTTCATTGCTTTCATTTAACTGTAGTATCAGTCAACTAGGTCCAGATCTACACATCTACAGGGTTCCATTTAATTTTAATAATAGTTACTTTATTTTGTGAGCATTTTCCTGAATTCTTTTATTCCCTTCACATTTCTTCGGCAGGATATATATAAGTTAGGGTGAACGAGAGTACCTAATCTGTTGGAGTGAAAATCTTAGACAGAGGGGTGATTTCGCTATTGTGAGTGTTAGTTTCTACCAGCTGTAAACCTTAATATTGGCTACGCTTTCTTGCTGCCAGGTTATTATCTTGCCGGTGTAGGTTTCTGAGTCTACTTGTTAATTTAAATTGAACTGAGTAGTCTCGCACTGTTCTTTATCTTTAAATTTCTGTTACATTATCTTCTAAGTTCTCACTGCAAGTGGTCGGTGTTTTGTAAGTACGTAAGTACGTGGCATCTTTTCTCCGTCTTTCAAGCATGGCTTCGTGGTGCAAAAGTAGCACACTCGGCCCGCATTCGAGAGATCCAGGTTCGAGTCCCGGGCAATGCATATTTTTCGTTCCCTAAACCCCAGTCGCCCTTTAAAAGAAAGATTATATAAGCACCCTTTAAAAGAAAGATTATATATTATATATACCTCCTTCCAGCATGCCTTTGTGGTGTAACGGTAGCACACTCGGCGCGCATTCGAGAGGTCCAGGTTCGAATCCCAGCGAGGGCATTGCTAATTTTTCATGTTTCCTTCTTCAAAAATTCTTAATGTCTCTACAACAACCTTTCCTAGTTGTGTTTATCTTCAAGACAGCGCGATTTCGCGTAGGGTTGAAGATAAATACAACATTCGTGAACCTCGCGAACAGATAAATCTAGTCAAATTTTATGATAGCTAAGCGTACTAGATCTTATATATCCTCTCAGTGATGCCCAGATCACTGCTGTAATAGCAAAAAGGAATATATTGAGCATTGCTGAGATTTGTAAAAGAATAATGTGGCTAATTTTATATCGGTTGAGTAAGTGAATTTATGAAACATTCCCCGGAATTTATGAATAATCCCCTACAACTACTGTAATAGCACAGTAAATGTCGATATCTCCTTTCGCGTGAATTTCTGTATGTACAGCATCTTATTTCGCGATATAAGTAGTTTCATTCGATAGTTCTGTGCACCGTTCTAGCAGCATATTAAACGCTACACAAACTCAAATCCTGCAAAAATCCTAAAAATTGAAAACGCTTTAATTATTTTGAAATTATAATTAAATCTAATCGACGCAGGGATGAAATTAAAAAAATTCTCGTTAAAATGAAAATTTTGGGTTTCATATTAAGATTTTTGAAATAAATCAGATCGATTTGAATTTTGTAAAAACTATGAATTTTGTAAAAACTAATGCTTATAAAATTAAAACCAAGCCATGAATCATAACAAGAATAAATGGAATACAAGCTCCGAAGTTTATGAAGTTAATTTTTATTAGAATAGTTGCCGTATTTTTATCCATATCGTAAATACCTTTTCCTTCTATAGAGTGCAAATATATTAATGGTCCTATCAGTGAATTTTTGATTAACGTCGTTTTTATTAACAATATCTGGATAAAAAACCCGTCCAATATATCTATAAGCAGTTGTCAAATCCCGCGTGTACTCTATATTAGGATCAGACTAATAAATTTTTGCAAAGATACAAACATGCTTATAATATTTAAACATGCAAAAAAAAAAAAAAAAAAAAAAATGTATATATACTAACGTACAATTACACACACACAGGGGAAAAAAAACTAATTTTTATACATGTTCTAGATTCACACAAATGAAAATGAAGAAGAAATTATTATCAAATAGAAGAAAATAGGAAAAATTTTTTTAGGCAGACATAAAGTTTTGGTGTCCAATTCGGAGACCTTATTTAAATATCGGCATGCAACACTGGCCACAGATATGAGTGAAAAGCGAAGAGAATTTACTTTTTTACTCACTTCTTCATCTTGCGTTTGGGCTTGCTCGGGCTCGTGTTCTTCCAGACGAACCAAAAGTTTATCCTGTAAAAGAAAAAAAGAAAAGATTTTATAGCGTAATGCTATAGAACTGCACTTCATTATATTATATTGTTGTGCTCTACGGGTTCATGGATTTGGGGTGATTGATGACAACATTTGGTAAAGAATCAAAACACAATTTATTCGTCAATATTACACACAAGAGTGCCAAAGACACGTTTAAAGCCATGGAAAAACTACGATAAACACGCTGAAACAATCAGCAACACAGTCCTCAGGCTATAACGGTAAAGACAGCTTCACGGCAAAGCACTAAAGCACAGCTCCCGCCTCGGTCAATCGCTCTCGGAGTTCAAGACACTCAACGTACTCAACGTTCTGAACTCAACGTACCCTCTCAAGATGGACTGGCAATAAATTGCTACTTCGCGTACAGGCAGGATTTGTATAGCTTTTTACCTGACTTTGAGAACATTCTGGGGTAAACCGTTAAGAATTCGTTCTAGAATGATCTCGCTTCGTCTGGCAACCCTGCCTTTCCATGCTATTGTCTGGCAACCCTAAATCCGCTTTGCCGGAAAGCTATCTTATCGCAGCTGGGCATTTTGTAACAATAACATGCTTAGATATTGAAATTTATTCTGAATTTTTCGAAATCTGGCAGAAAATATGGGATCTTATGGATAATAAGAAGCAATAGACTGGGCACCAACTTATTTTAATTAGGATTGTTTAATATCAGTCTGATAGAAAACAATCTTTCCCAACAAACTGGCACTAAATATTCAGGTGTGCCCATAATAAAAAATGCTAAATGTTTAATACACAAATGAATTTTATGTTGCAAGATGTTAGCTTTTGTAACATATTTTACTAGAATATATGATTTCCAGGTATAAATATCTGCTGTTATAATAATTTACTCAGCAAAAATAAAAGTATAATAGTTAAAGGGTTTTCAAACTCTTTATATTAAGAATAACGTCATTCAAGCCTATATTACCTTTTGGTTTTAAATCTGCAAAAGTTTGGGTGCTTGCGCAAAGCACTTTGAAGACGATTCGGATAGTAACATATGCAGATGCATAAGTAATGTAAACTCGGCGTCTAGGGGATTTCTACGCTGACGACACACATTTAGGTGACTAAGTATTTATTTAGTTATTGATGGAGATACAGTGATGAGTATTTACAAATGAAAAAAAAGAGTTATAATTGAGAAGTTAACAGGTTCGCCATCTATTAATACGTCTTAGTCGAAAACATGACTGTTTTCTTTCACTTTCCTCGTCCATTTCTCGTCTCACTGCAATGCCGTTCGTTGTGTTGAGTTGTTGCACTCCTGGTACTCACACTCGGGTATACTGACACGACAGGGCCTCCTGGCGATGATGGAATTACAACAAAATCTGAAAAGAGTAATTAAAACAAGAAAAAAGAAAAAAAAATTTGTTTGGATATACCATCTTGGAACGTTCTGAGGAAAAAAAAAAGAAGCGTCATTTGCTTGGAGTGTCAATAGATCATCCTGGAACATCTTGAAGAAAAAAGAAATGTTATTTCTCCAGACCGTCTTAAATGCTCGAGCGTCTTTAAGAGCATATCTGGGATATCTTGGCAAGGCAAAAAAAAAAAAAAAAAAAAAAAAAAAAAAAAAAAAAAAGGAACATCTTAATAAATCTTGTATATATAAAAATTCTTTGTAGGGAGGAAAAAAAACTTTCCAACTGATTAAAAAAATAATGAACAGGAAAAAAAATGAAAGGTAGTAAATACTAAATAGAATGTCCAATTGAAGAGTATAGCAATTCTAAATTAAGAGTTCATTGTTGAAAAGGCCATGGTTTCATCAAATCAGCAGCTGTGGAAGTTGTATTCGGACCTTCATGTATTCCGACTTTCTCTACCTCATAGCGGTCATTTGGCTTAACAGCTGTGACTTTGTAAGGTCCAAAAAATCGGGGACGGAGTTTGATTCCAGTTCCAAATTGAGTACGTTAAAGTGCGACTTGATCACCAACTTTGCATAAGTTTGGCTGTTTGCGGCGTTTGTTATATTGACGTCTATTTTCTTCTTGAACTCTGAGAATATTGTTTTTCCGCTTCGTCGCGTAATCTTTCTTTTTCTTGTAAAGTGGATTGGAAGTGTTCCTCTTCAAGTATTTGCTTAATTTTGATATCGGCTTTGTTTTTCATCTTTAGTCCAAAAAGTAATTCAAAAGGCGTGAACTTAGTGGCTTGAGATGTAGTGCTATTATGATTCTCTGCACAGAAGCAACATGTTTAAACCACTTTTCAGGATCTTCTAAAGATAGCTTAGTTAAGACGGGAAGCAAAATACCATGCATGCGTTCAATCTGTCCATTTGCACGTGGAACGTCCGTAGTTATTGTGATGTGTTCAATATTCTCATCATGACAATAGGTTTGAAATTCAGTTGAATTAAAAGCTGCACCCCTGTCTGAGATAATGCGTCGGGGATTACCAAAAGTTGTTTGCTGTAATTTCAATTTGTCGACAGCAGCTTCAGTGGTTGTTGATTTAACAGGATAAAGACAAAGAAACTTTGAGAATGCATCAACAACTGTAAAAAGATATTTGTAATTCTTGTTTGTTGACGGCAGTGGTCCCAGAAAAATCTATATGATAAGTGTCAAGTGGTATATCGCCTTTTGGAATCGGGTGAAGAAACCCTTCCGCTTTACCAGACTTCCTGGAAGAAAGAATGCAGGGTACGCAGTTCAAAATGATTTTTTTAACAATCGCAGATAAATTAGGGATGTAATATTCATGTGTAACAATGGATTCCGTTTTGAGAGCAGAAAAATTACCTTTAGAGTGAACATTTGCACTATTTCGGTTTGCATTGCCTGAGGTACAACTAATAGTTCTTTGTCTTCAACTATTTTATACAGAACACCGTTCTTTAAGGAGTAGTCATCTAAAGGGGTTTTTCTAAAATATGTTTGATCCCCGTAATGAAGTCATCAGTTGATTGTGCGTCAATAATCTTTTGAGTGACACTGTCGATGGCAATTAACATGACAGGAAAACGGCTTAGAGCATCTACATGTTTCATAAGCTGTCCAGAGCGGTGTTTTATTGTGTAATCAAAGTCTTCAACGTAAAGAGCCCATCGAGCAATTCTGAGTGTTATGTCTTTTTTAGACATAGTTTTTTCAAAAGCAGCGCAATCTGTAACAATATCAAATTTTGTTCCGGCTAAATAATGTCTAAATTTTTTAAGGGCTTCAATGATGGCTAGGATTTTTAGTTCATAGCTGGAGTATTTCTCTTCTTGAGGGGGGGGGTAGTTTTCTTGCTCATATAGTAAATTGGGTGGAAGGAACTATTAGTTCATCAGTGCAAACTTTTACATGCAGTGATTTGTTGCAAGAGAACAGATCCGTAACCGTATTTACTTGCGTCACAATGAAGTTTGAAGCGGTAAACCTTGTTGGTAAAGGTGCAAAACAGGATCACTGGAAAGTGCTTCTTTCAGTTTTAAGAAAGCGTGCTGTTGCGCAGGACCAAACTCAAAAGGAGTGGACTCACGTAGTAAGTCACTGAGGGGTTTTGCAATTTTGGCATAATGTTGAATGAATTTTCGAAAGTACCCAGTTAAGCCAAGAAAACTTTGAACCTGTTTAGCTGTTTTGGGTTCAGGAAATGATTGTACAGCGTGTGTTTTGGATGGTGAGGGTCGAATGGTGCTATCTTGAATAACATAACCTAGGAATTCTATTTTTTCTTTAGAAAGTTGCATTTCTAAAAGTTTATTTCTAGACCATAGTCTGAGGCAAGTTGAAGGACTCGTCGTAATTTTAATTCCGTCGTCTTCGTCCTTAGATGGAATAATTATATCATCCATATAAATTATAACAGTCTGATCACTAATGAAAGGTCTGAATATGGTATTGATAAATCTTTGAAAAACGCTAGGAGAGTTGCACAGTCCAAAGGGAACTTTAAGGAATTCATACTGGCCTTCATGAGTAACAAATGCAGTGTATTTGCTGCTTTGGGGATTCATGGGAACATGAAAAAAGCCATTTTTCAAGTCAAGAGATGTAAAGATCTTAGAATTCTGTAAATTATCAAGAATTTGCTCTATAAGGGGTAGAGGAATTTTGTCTTTCACTATTTTCTTGTTAAGACGTCTGTAATCTATACACAGTCGGTAAGATACATTTCGCTTTTTGCAGAGGACAATAGGGGCAGCAAAATCGGAGGAACTAGGTTTTATAATTCCTTCGTTCAGCCACTGCTGGATTTGAGCTTCTACAATACGTTGTTCGGCTATAAATAAGCGGCGAGGACGTTGACTAACAGGAATTTCATCCGTTAAAATTAAAGACATTTGCAAATCAGTTGTTTTGGTTTTATTAGGTTTGTAAGCCGAAACTAGGTGTTGGATTTGTGTGCGATGATCTGGATTGGTAAGGTGCGTTAAATCAGGAGAATCAGGTTCATCGAAAAATATTTACAATATTAATTAGAAAATTATGGTCAGGAGTTTCTGCTTCTATTAGTTTAATACCATGCTTTCCAATAGAAAATTCAGCTTTCTGGATACAATCACTTCCAATAATTGCGTCAACAGATATTAGATTATCTTCAATAACATGAATGTCAATTTTAAAATTTGTATTTTGAATTTTGAAACAAAATGTGAAATATCCTACTAGGTGTACAGTGCGATCACCAAGTCCTGATAATGTTATAGAAGATTTTTGAAGCGCTGGAGAACTAATTTTTTGATACGTTGATGTGTTAATTATAGTAGCTTGACTGCCAGTGTCAATCAATGCTGGAATGATAACGTCAGAAATATTGATGTGAATCATCATAGAATGTAGAGGGTGTGACTGTACGACAACTTGATTGAGAATTGTCTCTGATTTTTGTGACGATGGAGGTGATGCACGACTTGGTTTCTGAGTACAAGTAGACGATTTATGGCCAAATGAATCGCATGAAAAACATTTAGGTTGTTTATGAGAACAATTAGAACTTTTATGGCCCTTTAGACCCACAATTGT